TCTTGGAGTTGGTTTTGGTTTCCTAGGATGTCAGTTTTATGGTTTTTGTTTCCTCCTGAAGCTTTGAAAGGCAGCCAAGAATATTTCTCAGCTCATAAAACATTTTCACTATGCTATTCTCCAGCTAGCTTTCAATGATCTGTGGAAATAAAGAGCAGAGGCAGTATGATTAAGAAGAATCCAAAGAAGTCCCTTCACCTGATCTTCAACATTAATTACAGTTGCCATTTCCTCCTATAACAAATAGCAAATTGGACAAGTTTGAATTTCACCTCTATTTAGAAGTGCTAAATTGGAGGTGTCAATAATAAGTTTCTAAACACGAATATTTTTATTAAAAATAATGAATTAAGTAGCTTCATTTAGGTGCTACATAATAACAACATAGAATCACAGAATTTTAAAACTACAAGGACCTATGTATATATTATCTAATTCAGCTCCCTCATTCATAACTGCCAACAAGAATAAAATCTTCATGGGAGTATTAATGTTTTGATCCTTTTATCTCAGACGTCCAGCTGAGTGCCTAGCTAAGAAACACACAGATATTTTTTGAGTAAGGGAATGGAGACTCAGAAACTATTAATAGAGATCATGTTCTCTTAACTGGTTATGAATAGAGTTCATTATGTTTTAGTGTCACTTGTGAATAAATTTTCTTTTAAAATTCGAGATTTTTAAAATTTTACTCTGAGACTGTCTTACACCATTTTATCACCTGCATTCGTGTTCATAGAAGCATCATTATCTTCATGGTAAAGAATCATTGTAAGCTTGAAATAATTCACCTCTCAAAGAGCTCTAAAAAAATTAGTGAAGTGGTGAGCAATGCTAAAAATATTTAATAGTTTTTGAACACACTACATTTAAAAGTGGGTCTGCCTCACAAAACATTGTCAGTTTTGCTAAGCATACAGAAATGATACTCTTTAATGTAGCTGTTAGCAACAATAATTAAAAGAGGACACAAGATACCAACAATATGAAGATCACACTTTTTAGGCCAGTGAGAAAACAGTTTGAAAAAGACTGCTGCCATCCATGATATACTAATTTGTAGAAAGATCATCATGTTACTGTTTGCCCAGAAGGCCATTCAGTCACACATATTTAATTGTAGGAGGATTTAATAGTCCTTTTTTGAGTAAGCAAGAGCCCAAGTCATTAAGTTCCAAATTCTGTGTGCCTGTAAATCATACTTAGAGCATATAAATGATGATCCTGAATCATCAAAGACAAATGCTGTGTAGAATTCCACTCACCCCTCGCCAAAAGCTGAGTTCATTTGGAAAACACAAAAGAAGAGGGTAGAAAAAACAGGTGAAGAAAACTTTTGGTGTAGATCCAAGAAACCAAAGAAATAGGGATTTTCTTCTTACTGTTTTGTTTCCTGAGCCAAGCTTTTCTGCGTCTGAGCACCCAGTCTTATAGTATGTAATTGAAAATGTTTTGTCTGTTTTAGGGGGACTTACTTTAAAAAAAATTTAAATTATAAAAATACCCAAAAAGTATAAAAATATCCATATCTGGAAATTTTATTCAAAATAAATCATTTCTTGATGACTGCGAGGAGCCAGTTATTACATTTGAACAGCTGATGAACAGTTTAGACTAAAATGTTAAGTACTCTAATTATAAATGTATAACAATCCCCTACTAATATATCTTGTAGAAACAAAATGTCTTTTAGGAGTGTATTTATTAAAGGCTGATTGTTACGGGCATGCCTAATAGTTATGAAGGACTTCAGAGGAGCAGTTCTTATCTTAGTATTAGATTGGTGGTTTTCATGGCAGAATTTAAGGAAGTTTGATGCTTTCTACCATGTTATTAGGTCATTAAATATGAAATGTCTGATTTCAAATCAGAAGTGTAGTTTATTATATCTTAAACAAGAAGCAGCACAGTTAATCAAAGCATATGTCTAAAGTATCGACACACTTTTGCCATCTTAACAGTTAGCTTGTTTATGCTAGCAATGAAGAAGCCTGGAGAGGGCCTGGTGATGAAATCACAAAAGGCATTTTCCACAGCTTGTTGCAAATTGAATATTTTTCCTTGCAAGAAGTGGTCCAAAGCTTGGAAGAAGTGGTAGTCCATTGGTACAAGGTCTGGTGAATATGATGAATGATAAGAGAGTTTCCAAGTCCAGCTTCTGTAGTTTGAGCAGCGTTGTTTGTGCAGCATATGGTTAAGTGTTGTCTTGCAAGAGGATTGGCCTATCTCTGTTGATCAGTCTTGGCTGCTTAATTGCAAGCATCTTCATCATTTCGTCCAATTGGTTGCAGCAGACATCCACTGTAATCGATTAACCAGGTTTCATGAAGCTATAGTGGATAATACCAGTGCTGGACCACCAAACAGACACCATTAGCTTTTTTTGGTGAATATTCGGTTTGGGATTGTGTTTTGAATAACAGTCCTTTATCAGATGTGTCTTTTGCAAATATTTTCTCCTACTCTGTGGCTTATCTTCTCATTCTCTTGACATTGTCTTTCACGGAGCAGAAGGTTTTAATTTTAATAATGTCCAGCTTATCAATTGTTTATTTTGTGGTGTCATTATCTAAAAAGTACTCTGCATACCCAAGGTCATCTAGGTTTTTTCTAGTTATCTTCTAGATACTGTATAGCTTTGTGTTTTACATTTAGATCTATGATCTGTTCGGAGTCAATTTTTGCATAACCTGTAAAGGCTGTGTTTAGAATCACTTTTTTGCATGTGGATGTCCAGTGTTCCAGTGTTTGTTAAAAGGACCGTCTTTGCTCCTATGTCAAAGATCAATTAACTGTGTTTATGTGGGTATATTTCTGGGCTCTGTGTTGTGTTCTGTTGATCACTTTGTCTCTTTTTTCACCAATACTACACTGCCTCAGTTTTATAGTAAGTCTTAAAGTTGGGTAGTGTCAGTCTGCTGTCTATGTTGTTGTTCTTCAATATTGAATTTGCTATTCTGAATCTTTTGACTCTCCATATAAATGTTAGACTCATTTCGTCAATATCCACAAAATAACTTGCTGGGGTTTTGATTGGTATTGCATTGAATCCATAGATCAAATTGAGAAGAATTGACATCTGGATGTGAACATGGAATATCTCTCCCATTTATTTACTTCTCCTTTGATTTTTTTTATCAGAGTTTTTTTTAATCACAAAGTGTTTCTCAAAAACATAAATCTCATTATGTCACGTCCCTATTTGAAACGTACGTTAACTTTAGCATAACATCCAAGCTCTGTAATTTGGATAACAAGGTCTTTGTTATTCAGCCTTGGTTTATTTTTCTATGCTAATCTTTTACATGTTCATCTTACTGCTATACTGAGCCATTCTATAGTTTTTTCAGGTTTTGTGTTCTGTATTCCTCCCCCTCCCTTACCATTTACCTGCCTGGTGCCCACTGTCTTCCCTGGGATACTCTACCTTGACTCTCTGAAGACCTATCCATGCTGCCTTCCTTAATGCTTTGTAGTGTAGAATCACAACTAATTAGCAGAGTAGATAGAATTAAAGGCCTCATATAATTTATCATCCACCTATAATATTTAATATGCTTATAGTAATTATGAAAGTAGCTCCTAGAGCTTTTGCTAATAGTGTTTGTATTTGACGGTTAAACTCCCATGTGGAAAAGTTAAATCATGGAGGATTTATTTATCCTCCATTTATATAGAATAGAATAGAATAGAATCCATTTATTTAAAATGTTCAAAGTTTATTCTTAGGTAGAGTCCAATAAGTAGCAGATTAGCTACTTCCAGAAATTAGTGGTCACCAAAACAATTCTCATTGACTTCCCAGGTACTCCTTGGTCCCATATATTTTTAACACTGGAAAGGACCATTTAAAATTGACATTGTAATTTATATAACAACCTCATGTGCATTTGATTAGTTTGAGTTAGAGGCTACTCCTATGGATATACGAAGTCAAAATTTTGAACTTAATAATGTCTATTGAGGTCAAAATACTGCTATTTAGGGATCCTAATTGCCTTACTATTAAATATATTACATGATGACTACACTGAGGTGCTCTTGCTCTGTTACAGGTGCTAAGACAAACGTATGGGGTGTTCCTTCTATCTTCCCCCCATCCTAAGTGCATTTGATTGAATTTACATGTTTAATACACGTGTTATTTAACTCTATACTCGTCCACTCAGATGTTTATTGTATATTTCTCAGTTCTCAATAGGTCTTAGGAAATCCAAGCTATTACTAATTGTTGTTTTGGGGTTTTTGATTGTACGTTATCAGGTTTTGTTCATTAGTAGGATATGTTGATTATACTTCTTAAAAATCTATATTGAGGTATTTTTTGTGGCCAAAGGAAATGGGCTTAAATTAAAGGGTAATGTGTTTAGTATTGGCTTTATAATTGACCTGGTATATAAACCAAAGGAAAAACATAACATGCTTTCTTTGCCTGTTTCTTCAGAAATGAGGACTGTGGTGACTACCTATCTGCTGATGTGTTTAAAAAGTATTTGTAATATTTAAACATACTAAGAAACATCAGAAATATCCCTTCTGTTATCGGTGTGTAGTGAGTTTTTTGTTTCACGCAGATGTTAAGCTTCATGTGAGGAATGGATTTGTATCTCACTCAAGTTTTTTAATTCCCAGTTTCTGTCAATATATTTGCCACGTAGAATGTAAGCATTGGTTAAGTTAAACAATTGTCTGTGTATTTGATGAGCTTTTTAAAATAATCTTACATCTTGCTTTTTAGTGCTTTTATATGTGACATTCGTTTAACGTTTCAGTTTTCGAAAGAAAATGAACATGTTGGATGATGGAGGAGAAGAAATAACTTGATTACAGTTAGTTTTCGATATAATAGTTCCATAAGTAATAAATTCTTAAACATGCACTTTACATTTTGAAATAGACATAATTTTTCATGATATAGAATATAGAACCTTTAAAAAATAATAGATACAGTATTTGGGGATAAGTAATCAGATTTTTTAAATTGTATTTTTAAAAATCAGTTCTTTAGGTGCTGGGAATGTAGCCGACCGCGTTTTGGCTCAGCTCTTAACGGAAATGGATGGGATTGAACAGCTAAAGGATGTGACAATTTTGGCAGCTACTAACCGCCCGGATAGGATAGACAAGGTAAGAAAGAACACATTGTGGACATTGTAAAATCTAGAACTGGATCATTTTATTTTATCAGCTCTCTTTCTTTCTTTTTTTTTTTTCTTTTTGTCAAATTATTTTCTAACCAGTTTTTCATGTAGAGGATATTGAAGGATGTGAAGCAGTTTCACTGAGCTTCACTGAATACCAACTTGCCTTAGTCCAGTGAGACAGAACACCCTGGCACACAAGTTACATGAAGCAGGTTTATTACTTACAAATAGGCAGCAAGACAATAAATGCCTAGGATTCATTGCAAGCCAGTTCCCCAGGGTTCTGGAAAGCTACCCTGGATGGATGAAGTCTTGACTGCATGTGCCCTCTTGCACTGCACCTGAGGGACCCTGGAAAGCAGCCATCCTGGGGTGATTCAGCTCATTGGGCTAACATGTTGGAGAACATCCTGTTTCTGATGGGGGACTGGAAAAGAGCCTGGTCTGTTCCAGCCATTCCTTCCCTATATCAGGATGTTGCATTCCCAGCATATTCTACAGTTATTCTTGAGAACTGCAGAAGGAGAGAACTGGGTTGGTCCAAGACCAGCCAGAGACCACTCTTGCAAACTAAAGGAAAATGGAGAGAGTAAAGAAAAGCTTTTATTTATGTTTTTATTGCTTATGATTTAGTATTAATGAAACTATTTCATAATTCTTCAGTGTCCCCTCCCCATTATTGCATCATACTTTCAGCATATTTCTCTAAAGAATTGAAGTTTTGAAATTCTTTTTTTGTTTGTTTCATCTAATTTATTCTTCTTGAAGTTTTCCATGTTTTCGTCTACATTAAATCTCTAGCTATTTAGTACTAGTTTAGACCTAAGTTGTCATCAACGTGATAACTTCTAGAAGTCTTGTCCTAACCATTTCTTTCAAAGAAATTAGAGTAAAAATAACAATGGATTCTATTTTCCTAAGAAGTTACTTAGGCCATGACATTAAATTAAGTTCTATAGGTATAAAATCAATCCTTTTAAACAATTACTACCACTTTTTTCCCAGGTCATAGTTTAATAAAGAAGTTCACTAATTTAAGTACCTCATTTATCTGTAATATGTAATTTTTATAAGGCTTTAAATTGAGAGTAAAAATTTTCTCTCAGAATGAACCAAGGCAATAATGCTAACTTTTTTGTTTCTTGAAGTAAGATTTAAGGCTTACAACAAACTTCTCTGCATTTTTATAGATCAAGCTGTATGACTTGGCCTGGTTAGTGCTGTTCTCTTTTTTCTTGGTGTATAGCAAATTACCACAAATATAGCAGCTTCACACAACATCCATCTGTTACCTCACATTTCTGTAGGTTAGAATATGGGCATAGCATGATTGGTTTGTCTGCTCAGTGTCGATCTAAAGGCTGAAAACACCTTGTTAGCTGAACTGCATTCTCATCAGGAACTCAAGTTCTTCTAAACTCACGTGGTTGTGTCAGAATTCACTTCTTTGTGATTGTAGGGCGGAGGACTGAAGACTGAATTTCCTTTCTTGATGTCAGCTAGGAGCCACTCTCAGCTTCTAGAGATTATCGACATCCATTGCCACACAGTGCCCTCCGCCTTCAAAGACAGCAATGGAGAATCTCCATTACATTTCATCCCTGTCATGTTTCGAATTTCCTTTGCTAAGAAAACCTCAGTCCCTTTTAAAGACTCATCTGGTCGGGTTAGGCTTATTGAGGTAGAATCTCTTCACCTTAAAGTCAACTGATTCAGAACTCATTTGGAAAAGCTTTCCACAGTAGCACCTAGATTAGCATTTGATTGAGTAAGTGGGAGAAGGTGTGTGTCCATCAGGGGACCTGAATTTGGGGCTGCCTTAGAATTCTGCCTACCACAGTGCTCTTCAGTGTCTTTGCTCTACCCCTACCTGAATTCTTTTCTGGGCATGAAGAACAGTTTCTTTCTCTCTCTCTAGCTTGTCCTTGCCTGTCATATGATTGGCTACAATCCAGCTCTTTTCAAATGTCCTTGCTCTGCAGAATCTGTTCCTTTTTCAGATGACAGCATTTATCTGCCTTGCTGTGTCCAGACAAATCTTTCTTCAAATTATACATAATAATAAATCTCTTTTAAAATAGAAAAGGATAAGTCAATTTAAATTCCTTTTTTAAAGAATGCATTCTTTTTCATGTTTCTTATGTATGTAATACTTTGTGGTCTGATATTCAATACAGTGGAATTGTTGACTTACGATCTGTTTTGCTTACTTTGCCCTTGTGAGGCCTAAATTGAACTCCAACTGTTGGGTGTCACAGTAAGGTGTAATCTGTTCTCACCCAACACCTGGTGCAATGGACCTTGAGAAATTTATAAGATAAAGCTAGAGATTGGAAGTTATTCTTGGGCCATGTTAAGGTTTTAGACCAAATGAAATTTTTCAAGCTCATCCTAGAATTAGTCAAAATCCCAAGGTAATGGGAGATGACTTCCATTTTCTTTTGGATACTTTAGCCTGCAAACATCATGGATCTCTTGGAAAAAATGTTTAACCAATTTTGAGCAGAACTTGTTTCCAAAAGTGGGAGGTTGAAGGGATGGAAGTGGTTTTTCTCTTTTACATTTGAAGTTTTTTTGTATTGTTTTTATGTGTTTCTTGCCTTACAATAATACTTGCCTTTAAAGGTAGATGCTGTGTTCCATTAACAACAACTCATAAATATAAATCACAGAGTTTGAAAAATAAAAACAACTTGCCAAAATTATAGTCGTATTTTTGATCCTTTATAAAATGTAACTTTTAATGCCCCAGTTTTAGAAAAAAGCTAATTTTCCAAAAAAAGTGTTTTAAATGTCAGTATTGTTACAAACTCACACCTCTTGACTAATTAAATTTTGCTTCCAGAGGCTTCAGAGAAAAGCGCAGACATATACAAACATATATATGTATGTTTGTGTATATATGTGTGTATACACACATCCATATATGTCATACATATATTTTATACACAAACTTCGATTACTTTTTGGAAAGTAGAAATCCAATTTTTTTAAACCACCTAATATTGGAGGAGCACATTTAAGATACTGAAAATGCTTGCTAATTAGATACAAAGAATTATTTTCATTAGGTTAGAGGATGACTAACAGTCTTTAGTATTCAAATTTTTCAAAATTTATAATATTTAATTTGCAATAGATTAATATAATCATTGTTTGAAGCAAAACAAAATTGATGAATATCTTTAAGAAGTATTTTTAAGTAGTGTAAAAATGGTTTCAAGGTCATAAAATTAAATGCTGTGCTTTCAAGTATAGCTTCAAATTTACAACACAGAACCATAGTCTAAATGGGCTACATATATTCTGTAGTTGTGCAAAAAAAACCTGTTTCAAATATAAAAATGATAATTGTAAAAAATAATTTAATAGTTAATCCATTTCTATTTCAGGTAGAATTCCATGTGAAACATGAATTTTTTTCATAACTATACCTTTGTTACTTCTCAGATGATATATCCTATATCAAAAGTCTATTTCCTTCTCAAGTTCTCTAAAGTTTACTAAATAAAGCTATATATGGTAAAATAAAAATCTATTTCCTTTCCAGATATTTTTTTCTCTAAAGAACTATTATAGAGCATTATTTGTATATTATTTAATAGTACTATAAAAAAGGTTTCTCCACTTGTACAATTAAAACATGGTATTCAAAATATGCCATGAATATGCTGGTAGGAACAAAACAGTCTTAAGACAATTAAAAAGCAACATCCTGTTATGACATGAATATAGTTTTTACCACCCTTTGGTGTCTAGAGGAAACCGTAGTAAGAAGAAAGGAGGTGACAAAGAATTAAGGTAAATTTCATGTGTTGATGCTGAAAGGCAGAGATTTTTTTAGGCTGAAACTAGGAAAAAAAAGACCGTTCTAATGTCAAAAATATATATATTTAGCCTAATTTTGGCTATACCAAATCAAGGTATTTGGTCTTTAAATTAGCTAGCATACTTTACAATCATTTTGTCTGTTAAACTGCAACCTCTATGTTATTATGACCTTACATTAGTATGTTAGAATAGAGAGAATTCTTGGACTGTCAGAGGAGTGAAATTGATATCATGTTACCTGTATGTTTTGCATATTTATTGTCTTTTTTGCACAGTATTTCAGATTCATGTAGTCTGGGGAGACTAAAGCTGAAGTTTCTTGAGGTTTCTGGTGATTCAGCAAAGGAAATGAGACACATAGCTGAAGAATCTCACACTGTTCTACTCCCTGCTATGTCAACATTTACATATCCAACTCATTAGCTGTGATGTTGTACAGTAGACTGAGGGGAATAATTGCCTGTGGTCTGGTGGCATCCCAAAGTCTCCATAGGCCTCTTACCTCCCTCCTGCTTATATTAATATATGAGTGAAGAGAGGTTGAAGTTGCATCCTCAAGTGTCCAGTTTGCATAAGAATGGTAGGATGTGATAGGGCAGATGAAGATTAATGAGATTATGTCATGTCAAGTGGGCTCACTGTCTTTAGATTGATGATGGTCTGATTTCCTTAGCATCAGGAGACTTCAGAACAGTAAGAAACTAATTTATTATTGATGCCCACATAATAGTTAAATGCCCAAACTCTTGGAGTTTATATTGTTCTTTATTAGGCTGTTGCTGTGTGGCCCCTTTTGAAGAGTCCAGTCCATGACATTTCATGTATTTGTCTTGAATCTTAAGGAAAAACTGATGTCATCTTTCCCAGGGGTTAAACAGGCCTCAAAATAGTCTTAATTTTATGAATATTTTTGAGTTTGGTCCTCTTGGGTACTATGTAATAGGCTTTCAATAATAGTTACTAAATTATATGTATTGTCCTTAGTCTGTAAACCTAGTTTTCTTACAATAGTAAATTTGTAGAATTTAAAAAATTCTACTCGAAGCTATCTGTGGAAAAGATTGTCCAATTGAGGAAAATTTTCTAAGTTATGCAGAGGTCTTGAGTAATGTAGAGTTCAGTATTCTAACGTGTGTTTGACTCATGGAAGTG